AAAGTTAGGATACAATATACCTGACATTGCTGGATTCCTTGTAAGACTGAGAATATTTTAATATAAATGTCATATATTTTGCACAAAAGATAACATATTTACTCAGGAGCAAAACATTACATCTAAAATTCTAGATGTCTAATGCAAAAATCTATGATGATTATATTCAAAATGATCACCAAATTGTAAGAATTTGAGCAATGTAAAATTATATTCTGACCAGGCATTTTGTATGAATTTTACATTTTTCATCATATAACGCTGTGAGTGTCCGCTCGAGAGCTATTTTTAGATTCAGACCAACCCCCACCCGCCAACCCTGCCTGACTGCCTGTTTTGGCTCACTAAATTCATACAATTACCCAGCCAAATATAATTTACATTGCTGGAATTCTTATAATTTGGTGATCATTTTGAATATAAACAACATATATTTTGCATTAGACATACAAATTTTAGATAAAAAATTTTCTCAAATTAACTATGTTATCTTTTGTGCAAAATATATGACATTTATATTCAAAATATTCCTGGTCTTACAAGGAATCCAGCAATATCAATTATATTATCCTAACTTTAGTTTGAGGTATTATTTATTAAAATTTAGTGGTTATCCCACACATCTCCTTGGGACGGTTGGTGGGGGGTGGGGGGGAGGGAGGGACCGAACGACCATCTGTTACCCTGTGAAGAATTAATTTTTTTTTTATTAACTGAAGATATTTGTTTTAGCTCAAAATCTACAAATTACTCGTGTCAGAATATAATTTACATTGCTGGAATTCTTATAATTTGGTGATCATTTTGAATATAAACAACATATATTTTGCATTAAACATACAATTTTTAGATAAAAATTGTTCTCTAGGTAATTATGTTATCTTTTGTCCAAAATATATGACATTTATATTCAAAATATTCCTGGTCTTACAAGGAATCCAGCAATGTCAATTGTATTATCCTAACTTTAATCTGAGGTATTATTTAATACTAAATGTTAAAAAGTCTTGAATGGAGGATTGGTGGGGGGAGGGTTGGGACTGACCACGCGGTTGGAAGAGGGGGGGAAGGCAAGGTGGGGTACTTTGATTGACAGATAGTGTCGAAGAATATTTTTTTTTTTTTATTAACTGAAGATATTTGTTTTAGCTCATAAAATTCATACAAATTATCCGGCCAGAATATAATTTACATTGCTGGAATTTTTACAATTTGCTGATCATTTTGAATATAAACATCATAGATTTCTGCAAATGGCACACAAATTTTTAGATGTAAAGTTTATTCTGAGTAAATATAAGTTATCTTTTTGTGAAAATATAGACATTTATATTCAAAATATCTCTTATCTTACAAGGAATCCAGCAACAAGCCAATTATATTATCCCAACTTAGTTTGAGGAATTATTTATTACTATACCTGCCTTCCCAAAATTTCTCAGAGGGAAGGGCCAGTGAGTGTAGTGTGAGAAGAGGGGGAGGGAGTTGAGTCCATTATTTGAATGGACATTAACTTGGCGACTGTATTTCTCTATTTCTCTTAAGTATTAATTGTGTGCATGTACCATCATAAAATTAAGATGTTATTTTTACTACAACATAGTTATGTGTCTTCAAAAAGTGGAGTTTGGGGGTCGGGCTGGGTTCTATTGGAATTAATCCCATATGTTCTGTTATTCACTTAATATGTTAATTTAACGGGACCCGTCTGAATTCGTTGACTGCTAAGTAAGTAAGGCCAACCAGTATCTAAAAATTTTATGTCTAATGCAAAATATATGATGTTTATATTCAAAATGATCAAATTGTAAGAATTCAGCAATGTAAATTATATTCTGGCTGGGTAATTTGTATGAATTTTATGAGCTAAAATAAAAATCTTCAGTTAATAAAAAAAATAAATATTCTTCACACATGCCAGATGGTCGGTCGCCGGTCCCTCCCTCCCTCCCCACCCCCCACCAACCGTCCCTACTAGATAAATGTGTGGGAATACCAGACTGTTTACCTTTTTAGTAATAAATAATAAATCAGACTAAAGTTAGGATAATATAATTGACATTGCTGGATTCCTTGTAAGACCAGGAATATTTTGAATATAAATATCATATATTTTGCACAAAAGATAACATATTTACTCAAGAGTAAACATTATATCTAAAATTTGTATGTCTAATGCAAAATCTATGATGTTTATATCAAAATGATCATCAAATTGTAAGAATTCCAGCAATGTAAATTATATTCTGGCCGGATAATTTGAATGAATTTTATGAGCTAAATAAAAAAATTATACTTCACCGTGTTAAGGGGTACACCCACCGCGGAATGTGAGCATCCTGGGTTCTGAGGAAAACCAGCGAACGTGGAATGTGGGACCGCC